ATAATATATATATATATATCATTGTGCTATTCTGACGCGTAGCTTGTACGTTGCGCTCCATATTAGGGCATATGACAACCAGGAAAGGTTTCTGCAGCATGCATTTAACACGAATAGTTCACAGAGTCCACGCAGAGGCCGACCAGCATTGATATAGATGTGGATGGTGCACGCAAGATATCTCTTGACGTATAGGTCGGATCTTCTACGATCATGACCAATCGAGAACATTCGCGCGAATGCTCACATAGACTGTACGTAATGCGTGGAATCGGAATAGAGCTTTGGCAGCTGCCGTTGTTTAAAAGAGGGTGACAGTGGTTGCGCTGAAGAACGAATATATAATTCTGCCTTCCGCTTTACAGGATGTGCGAAGACTGCAGCCAGCAGCAACACTTCCGCTGAAAAGGAGTGAACTCCTGCATTATTGACTTGACGCAGTTAATGCAGCGCCGGTCGTTTTGAAGTCATTTGCACACACGCTTGATGCAGGGAGTGAGTTACGAAAGTTATTTTGGCTATTTCTTTAACTGGGCTCCTTGGCGCAAAGGCGCGAATGCTCCTCGTTCGCATCTATACACGCCGTCGAAGGGGATACAATCTTCAAACAGCATTTTGATATCATAACTGTGTTGGAATACGAAACCTTTGCGTGCACCTCTTTAATTTTGCTTGCAGACGGTAAGCTGTTTGCCACACAACAGGAGAGAGAAGGTACAGTACGCTTTGGTTGAAGAAAACGCTGGCATACTCGGTTTCAGTTCAACGGGACGCCGTGGTCGTCGTTATTTTGAACAGAGCGTGAGTGACTGCTGGTCACCTTTGGTTTGCTCACTCATAGTTAGAGCTTTTTAGCCGCACTTGATCAAATCCAAAACTAAATGCATATAGTTGTGCTTTTAGTTTTGGAATTGATCAAACAAGTAGACTGGTCTGGAGTGTAATGCAGTGTGTAAGTACAGTTATTTTCAATGCACTGTGGATGCTCTATGTGGCAGCATAGGATGCAGCCTAGCCTTTGTTGCATTAAAACACTATGATGCATCGTATTTTTGGCAGTGTCTCATGTGCTGTATTAAACACGTTGGACGGCCAGAAAAAGAGGATATGCTCTCACTTTATACACAGGACGTGCGTTTGGATATAAATGATTCTCAGTAAAATGCCTGCGTCCGCACACCTTCGGATTGGTTCGGATGAAAGATCGGCGGTTGTCAGTAGAACCTAAAGGCAGTGTGCAGCAGATCACGGGAAATCCATGCAGGTATATTTAACATTTCAGGTTGTGAGTGCTGGATACATTTTCACAACCGCCGGAGACACGGTGCGATGTAGTAAAGGAGAAGGGGGTTCGTTAGAGCGCTGCTTAACATCGCCAGCTGGTGTGGGACTTTCCGGCTGCAGGGAGTATGTGAAACGTGATTCATTGACAAATAAGCTACATTCGGTGTATAAACCTGGTAGCCTATTCCCATTGCGTTATGTTTGGCCAAAAGCTGATTAGCAGGAAAAATAATTGTTCATCCAATGGGTGCAGTCGATCAAACTTATGCCAGGCGGTGGGTGGGAACTTCTGCAAAGCGATCAGATGGCCAGCATTAACCGAATGAATATGATATATCCCGTTTTGCCCTACTACACCATTTACGCAGGCTGACACTTGTGTTCGACGACAGTGGAAAGCTCAACGGATCTGCAGAACGTATGCATTACTTGATGCACTAACGCAGGATTGTGTTTCGCCACAGATATACACTTGTGGCTGTTTTCAATATAGCCACTAAAATCATGGACATGCTAGAAAAACGGATGTGTGGCATTCCTTGAAGTCTTAAATTCAGGAGGTCGCTTACGCATGTTTTATAAGCAAGATGCCATTTGGTTCGATGCATTGCGACTGTATGCAGAACGTGCGTCTGCATACCGCCACGAGTGAACACCAAACTAAAAACTTAATTCGAAATTCGGTTAGGCAGGATTAATCGCAGATCGACGAACCTGCGGGTGGTGATCAATTCGACGCATATGTGGTTCACTGATGAAGGAGTGCACGCTGACCGATCAGTCCAGAATTTGATAGATGTAGCTTCATAACACTATTCCCTTCTTGGCAATGGTATATTTGAATTGAAGACCGTATGCCACGCACAAATGCGTTGGAGATAGTACACTGCGTCAGCTCAATGCCACATTCATTGTCCGTCCCGTCGGCCTTTGTGAATGGAGTCACTCGATGCCAGAAACTCCGGTAAACAATAAGCATCCCCTGCAAACCAATGCGCTGGGGCTCCGTGCTACACAGCTGGTGAGCAGCAAGCAAATGCACTGTATATGGATGGTTGACCATTAAAAAAAAAGCCTCTGAGGACCATTACCAACTGGCTGCTTTTTACGGTTAGACGCAACAAGTGGAATTGTTTGTCTGCACAGCTGGTGAGGGGCAAGCCCGAAGTCGCCGAATCAAATCCCTTTTTTCAGCTGATATGAGTTGCAATAGTTGCTTAATGTGTCAAAATTTTGTCGAGCGGCGTTTTTGCCTTATTCAATGTTCAGGCAGTGGGTTCCTATGCTAGACTGCAAACAGTATCCCTCACATGTTTCTCCCACACGCTGTACAGTGATTGCAACTGAACACAACCACATAGCCGTTGGGTTGCCTCTATTTGCTGTAGTGAACCACTTATTGCAACTACAGGGAGTGGGTCTTAAATGACTACAAGCTTACGGTTAGCGTATCCGCGTCGTTGAGTAGATACATAAACTCATTGCAGAAGGCGCACTGATGTCTCCAGACTTACAAAGGTGTTGAGCGTGCACATGCTTGGCAAGTCAGTCTCCCTAAATTCCCCAAATTCCAGCCTGTAAGCGTCAAACTAATCTACATTTCGGCTGTCCTTGCAATATAAGATAGTTCAGCCTCATCGCATGCAAAGCGGCCTTCGCGGCTCTGACCATGTTGAACGAACAGCGTGAGAGTATTAAATTAAGACACAGTGTAGGTGAATTTGGTCTATATCCAGGACGCCTTTGCCGGACACAGTTTGTAAGCGGTTTTCGCATGAGCCGCTTTCGCCTATAGCGCCACAAAACACTTATGCTATGATATTGGCAGCATTCTAGAGAACAAGTGAATATCTTCCCTGTGAACATTGAATGGTGAAGGTTGTACGTTGGCGATCTCAGTTCAGTATGTAACCTTGTAAGGGTTGCTACGTATTCGATCTTACAGTTTTCTTGCCCCATCAAGTGCACCATATTAACCTTGCAGGATGTGGGTGATGTGTGATATAGGGACCTATGTCGGGTGAATGGAAAATGCTATCTAAACATGACGCCTCTGTTGCGAGTGAACAAGGTTGAACAATGATCGAAGACAGGTACCTCTGAGAATGTTGAATCCCAGCAAGTACGGGGACAGTGCCTCGTCCCGTGTCTTGCGTCGGTGACTAGAGCGTGATGCCGTCTCTGTCGTCCTGCATGGGTTGAACATCAGTTACCTAATTCTGCACAATTACACCAACGTTCCAACCGGTAGCTTGTAAGTTTCGTATAGTAGTAGGCACGTATAATCGGGGTGAACAGCATAATCCATCATAATGAAGCTTTTGTAGAAAGCGTGGTATTTGTTGGTTGAATTGAGCATTTCTCAGCAATTTTACTTATGAGGGTAGATCCGGTTATAATGTTGATGGTTTGCAGCGCCACGGGCCGTCATATTTGCAGGAAGTTCGTTATCACCTCTCGCACACATTCCCCTTCGTAAGGGAACAATAACGAGAAAATATGAAGCATACAATGTGGACAATTATCAGGAAACGGGGATTGTTTACACTGGCAGCATGGATCTTGCAAATAGGCGTGTGCGTGTTACATTTATGTTACCACTGCGGCGCATAGATATCGTGTTGTAGGGATATGCCCTTACACTTGGCCATTCTGCGGCTCAGCAAGTGCGCACTGTGCTAGCATTCCTTCGCAAATGCTCACAGCCATTTCGCCTTTGTCCTTTCCTTTCAATCAGCTTTACAGGCCGTTTTTGTGATTGCAGGAAAGCTGTGTAGGTATTACGATGCTCCGAGCAGACTGTGGGTTTCATACACTGTATTCTTCTTCCAGAGAGACCGCGAGGGAAGTAGCATTTGCACTAGCCCATGGCGAGGAAAATGCAGATATCCAGAGCTGTGGTGCTCTTTCCTGCCTGCTCACACAGCTTTGACCCCCGAACAAGGACTTCAACACCCCTTAGGCAGTGGGTTTTTGTTGGACGGTTGATAGCGTACTTGCATGTGACGGGCCTCTTGCTCCTAGCGTAGTCAAGCAGCTTTCCTCCAAATTGGCACTGGCGTTGTGTTTTCGACTCGTGGCTCACCAAATGCCCAGCCCTGGGATATGACAAATCGGACAGCAAGTACGGCGCTATACACATTTAGTGGACGCACGAAAATTGCACTTTTCCTGGGAAAACATTTTTCATCTCGAACTCGCTGGAGATGTTCTTCCGCATAACTCTATGTGGCGCTTAAAAGAAGTTGTTCGAAGCATCTGCCTGCGTTTCTCATGGCAGTTTCCCGACAGAGCGATGTTGAACCTTCAGAAAGTGAGGGAGGTGGATCATGCCTGTTAACGTGAATAGCTCCTCGATGAGCATAATGTACATGGGTGGCTCACTACCTGCAGTTACATCACCTTCAAAACTATATATGAAGAGTTTTGTGTGGAAAATATTAAAATGTTAATGGCTATCACCTTCAAAACTATGAAGAATTTTATGCGGAAAATATTAATTAGCACTATAATATTAATTAGGCCACAATAAGTCGCATCTTCAAGTCTCCCAATGTGATGTGATTGCAGATAGTGAGTCGGGCGTGCCAAAATTATCCGCGCTTGTTTCGGTTTGGCTGATCAAAGCATAAACTTAGCCAGAAGCAGACCGTCCTGCACATTAGGAAGTTTGCATGCTCGGGTCCTTTATGTGCGAATTAAATTTTTTGGCGAAAACTGGGGTACAAATTCAGTGGGTACGTCGGCTGAAAGAATCGGAAATACGAAAACCATACTAGGGAATGCGTGGAGCACAGACCAATTGCCGTCGGTCTTCACGCAATCTACAAGATATCGCGAGGCCCGTCAAACCAAAACCAGTTCCCGATTAAATGAGACGATATGTATGCGGATATTTCAGGTGAGCTGTTGAATTGTGCCTTGTGCATGCCTCGAACAATAAGCAAATGGTGAAATGCATGCAGGAGGTATGTCATGCAGTGCCCTGGTTGCTCAGCACCACACTTACTGGTTGAGTTTATGGGACTGGGTTAAAATTATTAGTGCCAGGCCGAACATATTCACTTAGCCTAGTCGCCTTTTCACTCTTTGGAAGTTGCGCACACAAAATGAATTTGAGGAGTGTGTTATCCGACTCTTTGCGCTGTGATTGGCTTACGTTGGTTGCTTTATCATCTGCTGTCGGGTTAACATGCATGCGTCTGGAGAGAGAGGGAGAAAACGGAGGATAGCCTTTCCCCTTCTGTGGCGTCACGCGTTGTTGCCGTTTCAGGAAGTGGGTGACAACCATGTGTGGCTACAACATTTTAGCATACCACTCTAGCTGACTATGCGTTTCAGTGCCATGCAGTGGGGCGGTATGCAAAAGGTGTTGAAGTCATTGGATATGGTCCTGGTCGTCACGGCAGATCATCACTAAGTACAGTCAGTTTATTTTGTGGAGACGAAGTGACGCATTTGGACTCTAGAACGTACGCTCTTAGCTGTCGAGGTATTTGGCAAACAGGCTTCTTCTCCCTGGTTCTGCTGAACCTATCTCTCTTTTAATAACTTATATGCTATAGAGTGGGCTGCCGGAAGTTGATAAGGGCATTTTTTGCAGCCAGTGTGTCACCAGGCTAAGCTCCGAGAGGTGCTATCGTGTACTCCACTCAAGCACCTGCTGTACTGTTGTACCTGCTGTAGTGTGTCGTCTGTGTTGCTTTACGAATATCTGAATGGAACGGGACTTTTGTTAAAAATCACAGTCTGAAAAACGAATATATCACAAGAAATTAATGATGTTGGCTCTTCGGAAATACAGTCTGTGTGTCTTGAGTCAGGAAAATAGTGCCTGAGTTCAGAAAAAACTGATTTACAGCTTCGCAATAACTCGTCCTTCCGAGATAGCTTTTTTTTAATATAAACCTCAGGATGTATGTTGAATGACTACTATGCTAGAAGGCATGGAAATCTTAATGAGGGTTCCTATCCTCAAGTTGTTCTTAAGGTGCTATGAGCTGCCTCAACATTCATTAGGGTTTTGCAGATGAGATTCGTTTAGCTCCATCCTAGGACAACAGGAAGTGAGTGAAAGAGACAGCAAGGCAGAATGTCAGGACGGCATAACTGCATTCTCTTGGTAATACACCACTATGCCATATCCGTTGCGGTAATGTTGACTACCCAGAGCATCCGCTATTCCCAATGAACTCACTGCACTTCTAGGGGGTGCGTTGGAATCATCAACAGCACTGTTGGTCCTCCTAGCTGGATTATCACCAATCTGATGACCCCGGTTGATATGAAATGACGGAATTGAAGGTCGAAGAGAGCCTTCTTCACATCTTACAGTTGGTGCGTGTTGCAGGATTTCGTTCAGGATTCACGTTAGCGAGAACGAAACTGTATGTGTGGCTACCTGTTTACAGCTGAAGACTGCGCGGCTTTGTGTTGGGTGCTATCTATTATTTCGCCAAGTGGTGCGCATGCGGCGTGAGGAAGAGCCACATTGAAGATCAATGCAAAAGCAGCTCCTTCTGAAACGGTGGAAACTCCCGTGTTGCTGGATTCACCAACTATTTAACTTGGACTTGGTAAACTTAAGAAAGTACGCTGGTGGATAAACTAATAGACACGCAAAGATACGCCTCTCTTAGTCGCCTGTATGAATTAGAAATTGCCATACACGGCCGCCGGAAGATGTAGTTCCTTGAATGCCGACGAAACCTATTCTTTGTTTAAGCTCCACCATTTGGAAAACACGTTCCGATGACTGCACAGAAAGTGAGCAACTTGCACCATTCGCCAAGGAGCGATAACGAGCTGCATTTAGGGGGAAGACGGACACATTGCTAGATACCTGCCTGTTACAACCCTATATCCCTTATTGCTGATGAGGTCGGAGCGGGATTTGTGCTGTTTTAATATAATCGACAGGCAGTGAGTTGCGCCCTAATGATGTGCATTGATCGCAAATGGAAGCAAGCTAACTTTGATATCATCCTGTAAGTTTTCACATCGCCTTTTTTTGTACAGATATTCCCTTTGCCAGGCGGTGCGTTGGGTTTGCTGTATTATTCTGTAGCTGCATGGTCCATAGTGCGTATATTCAAAATATTAGAGCATATAGGTTTGCAAGGCAGTTCCAGCTATCGCCCAGACATGTTTAATGAACGATCCTTTCTTTATCGAGGAACATAAATGTTTGATGGAGTAGCCTGGGTCTGCAGGACGTACGTCTTATCGAACCTGTGTAGTTTTGCCACGGTGGACACGGGCAAACAATATCAGTGCCGCTGCATATCAAAGTGTTGGTTAGCGGATGTCGGTGCGACGAGATGCTACTCGTCAACTGCACAGCATGCATTGACAGCCCCACTACTATCTGCGTATTGCAGGCAGTGTGTAAAGCGTTCAAAGAGTGCCCGACAAGAGCACGAGATGCGTTGCATGGGAGGAAAATTAACGTGAAGTTGATTGGGACGGAACACGGGCAAAGTATCGGCTACAATGCTGTTAGTATTCGCTACTGAGGCCACTTGAACGTGAAGATAGTGGGTGGAAAACGCCTTTAATTTTCTTACCACAGTGATATAGAGACAAGAACACCAGTGTCGGAATTTGTCGTGACCCATATTGGCATTCTGTAGGCCACGATATGGTTGCAGATAATTGCGTTGAGCTACTCTAGGCCTGCCTGACTAAACGTCCAATATGTGTCAAAACTTTTTTCTTGACCACACGAGTATAGAGTGAGATGGCGCCTCGCTGCTGTATGGGTGGTTAGTTGAACACTGCAGGAGAGCGTTTCAAGGACCACTGCCTATAGGCTATTCGAGAACTGAATGTGGCTCCCATGCAAATGTGCAGAATGTGAGCACCTCCGAGCAGACAACATCTATTCGTTTGACGGAGACTAGGCGTGCTGTACGCGGTGCATCGGTTCGAGTAGGGTTAAGAGCGGGTCGATAGATAACAGGGGGCATCTTAATGTTTGCTGCTTCGTGCGTTGGGCAGTCGACGCATCCAATGCCGTTGTTGAGTACACAGAGAGTGAGAAACAAGACAAACTACAGGAAACGGCCAGCCTGACTTGCGCTTCACGAGAAATATACTTGATAGTACTTGTGTTTTCACCTCGTCGAAATGACCACTGGTATGCGTAGGATTTTCACGGATATGGTTCCCTATGTCGCTGTCGCTGCAGGAGGTGGGTTGATGCGACAAGAGGAAGCGACCATATTTCATGAATTCATCATTGGAAACCCAGGAACTTTTGAAGCTTTACGGTGGAGAATTGCTAAACGGTTTTATCGCAAAGGACTAACTTCGATATATTTCCACGACATGAAGATGGTGGGTTGTACACCGATTTTTTGCTCGCATGTTTCAGTGGTTCACTGTGTGTCTTAGACAGCCAACGCTCTATTAACGCAATAGGAAATTGATAAAAATGGTTGGAGCTTCACTAGCATAGCACGGTAGACTAACGTTTCACACTCCATTCTCCTAGGGAGTGAGCTTTAATGCTAGCTTGCTGCAGTCTCGCTTTAAGCCTGCATCACAATGGCGGCTCCACAGCAATTCGTTGCTTGCCATCGTTGCTGTGTCGCAAATGAGCAAGTGTTGCTGCAGAGAGTACGCTCCTAGCCTTAGTTAGTTGACAATCCAGGGAGTGTGCCACGTAGAGTAGACTCAAATTTAGTTCGATCAGAAGATAGTAGCGCAACCCTTCCGCAACGGTCTTCAGCAAGTTCGTCAATTTTGTCAAACATTACCAGAAGTCCACACTGCGCGCTTTGTGGCTGTGTTTAGACGAAAACGGGACATCAGGCACTTCTGGCCGAAGCAATAGGTTCGCATAGAAACGCGCATATCTTGGAGTTCGCTGCTGGCGAACTGGCTCATGAGAACAAGCCAGAAGCGCTGAAACCGCCTACCGACACGACAGACCGTGAGTGGCCGTGCTGGCGACGTGGTTTCATGCCTGCCTAATGTCATGTAATATAGCTGGCGTTGACTATCCGTTATAGCTGGCGCTGGCTTGGCTCCTCGTCAAATTTCATTTGTGAAATTTGTTAATGACTAAACGATAAGCAATTAGTTCTAGCGGAAGGTAACAGAGCAGTGCTTCTGCATTGATCCTCAGGACGTTCGTCAAGTTTCAAAAGCAATACCCCATAGCATTCTCAAAGGTATACGTGCGTGTAGGGTGAGGTGCACGAAGAATTCTGATGGTTTAACAGAATAGGATACACAAACTAATGCCCATCCGTGTCCTTAAGAATAATTCGTCGAAACCGTTTGGTAGGTCAACTAACTGGCCTTCATGCTTTAATATGTAGTTTGTGCGTTTTATCCTCATCTATTATGGCAGTTTATAGTGGTTTGTTTGTTGTATATTTGTGCGGTTACGTGCTAACAGGCGTAATTCGCGGACATAAGCAAAACCTACACAGGTTGTGCGTTCTCCTACATTGGAAATGTCCAGAATCTCTCCTGATGTGACAAGATTCAACTGCATCCACAAAGAGGGACAAGTAGTGCAGGGGAACAGCGTTCATCCTACTGAAGCGTTAAGGTTTTGTAGGTACAGTTGCCGCGGTTACCCTTCAGCGCTATCCTTTTTCTGGTGAACAACCAGTGCAAAGAACCGTGAACATGGTTTCTAATTGTTTCTCGAAGGATGTATGTAACATCCATCGTTAGGTGTTATGCTTCCCACCTGCGGTCTGAGCTCCCTTCCGACAGACAGAACAAATTACAAACCCTAGAGGACGGAATTGTATACTTTCAGCATTAACTTAAAAGTTTCTGCTATTACAGCCTGTGCGTATAGTGGGGTAGAAAAATAGGGAACTGCACAATCCTTGTATTGGCTAACGTTCCAGCATTGAACATCGGGATTATGGTTATGGATTTCCCTCTAGTGCGTTTGAGCAGTGGCGCATCCTGACGCCAACAGTGAAGTTGGGGTGCTTCGCGGGTTCCAACTTCGGCACCAACAAGAGCAATGATAATGGCATTATTTTCCCTGCATGTGATGCTGCAAATCCGTTAAGAACGTGATTGCCTATCGGCGACGGTCTCTACTGCACATGGCATTGACTGCTGTCAGATCGTGAGCCGCCTACATATTTCAGTGTACTCCGTGTACTCCCCGGGCTGCTCAGTCACATAACCCTATCCGGGATGTTCAATAGGTCCCGCTGGATGCTTCATTAAGTCGGATACTTAAGAAATATGCAATAGAATTCCGAAGTATCCAAAAAATCTGCAATCCGGAGGTATTCTGGAGCTGGCCAACATGATCTTTGAGGAGTGTTCTCTTAAGACTTAAACCATTGTCCAGTTGGGTAAGAACTGTCCGCTTGCCATTATTTTTTGTTCATGTACTCTGAAGGGAGTAGGCAAATCTCACTTGTCAAACCGGGAAACCAGTGTTTCAGATTGTACACTAGGTAAAGTATTTAAGACTGCATGATTGCATCTAGACCTCTCCATGCAGAGAAAGCCAGAAGCACCAAAGAGGTATTACGGTGTTCGGCAGCACGGATTTGCACAACTCGACGCTCAGGGAGTGGGTTGCATGCAAAATATCGAATATGGGCACGCACAAGCGTACAAAGTGAGGGTCGTTTAGTACAGTGTTTACACTGTGAAAGCCCTTCAAATGTACGGTGGATGTGCCTCCGAGGGCTGAGCATCGTGGAAATCTAACAGGTTGTGGGTCGAGTGGAGCGAATATCAAGACAAGCCGCTGACAGGAGCCCACATGACTGCAATATGACAACTTCAAGTAGAACTCTTTTGATCCATATCATTGTACAACAGTCGGGCAACTGGGGATTTGGGCCTTTGCAGCGAGTACGTATTGGGAGATCCTGTAACCTTCAACTGACTGCCTCTAGATACGATATCCTGAGAAAAGCAAATGCGTTGTGGTATCTTGCTCGCCTATCGGTGCAGTTATCAGGGTGGCAGCCAATCAAGATGGGTATACAGCAGGGAAAGCGTTCCACAAACAGACCGTCAGTCCTACGCAAAGCATGAACCCGGTCAGAATGACATTCAGGAGGTTTGAATATAAAATGCCGATGCAGGGTTGCCCTTATATGAAAGCTGCTTACTTACAATGAATCCGTCGAGGTGTAATCAAAACGCAGCGAGTAAGTCGCATGCTTGTGACGTTATTTCGCATCGACACAGGATGAACACTGAGCAATAGGCAAATGCGCATGTGGTATCATAAACATCATGTGAATTACTGTCGCCCAGTCCTCCACAGAGAAAGCTTTTTGGGTATGTTGTAGAAACTTGATCCAAGTGAGTTCGACAGTGGCCCCCTGTGCCACACTGCACGTAGCACAGCTCAACCTCCTCTATACGCTCTAATGATCGTCCTGTCATCCTCACCCGGCAGGCTGTCAGTCATTGGCCCGCTCTAGAGATACAACAGAAGCGTTGGTTCATGCGTAGCTCCGCACGTCCCTCGTGAGCAACTGATCCGTATTCGTTGGTTCTTTCAATGTTGCAGACACGTATCCAACGAGGACATATCCTAGATTCTGCTTGTTACTGGGCACCAGTGGGTGAGTTTTTTAGGGTAATATTACTTGACTGGACTATTGTCAAAAACCTTATGTAAGTACATAACGGACCGGGAAGCAAATGCGTAGACACCGGGGACTAAAAGTATAGACATCTATCGTCTTTTGAGCCTGCATTCCCCGTCTTTATGCTATGAAATCCACTCGATTATGCCAGTATGTAAGTACTAATTACGGAATGGCACAGTACTCGAACTTCCTCGTGAACGCGTATTCGGTTTTATTGCTCTGCATTTCTGGACACACCATCAATTGGAGTCTATACTGGCGTTGGAATCAAAGGTTGGGACGAACATGGCAATCATTCGCCACAGCCAGTGAGGCAAAATTCGGGTGACAACTGGCGTCGGCCTGCTGAAGGTGCGTCAATCGAGGGAATTCCACGGATTAGCGATTGGGGCAATGACACGGATTGATGAGGTTTCCACGCTCAGAAAGTATGTGCGAAGAACCGTCGCAGTGCCGTCGTCAATTAATGCAGACTGAAAATCTTCTTGGTGGATCGCACACCGTATCATTTGCTGAGAACTGTCAGACTGGACGTGCTTCTTGTCCCAGTTGGTAAGCTACGGTGCAATTGTTGTACGCTTTGTCTGTGTGGGATAATCACCCCAATCACTTCATAAATGTGGCGTAGAGGTGTAATTGCCATGCAACAGGAAGTGCGTTGGCGGCGGCGCAGCAAACACGCGCATACCACAGGTAGAGGGCATGGGTACTACATGCAGCATGTTGTTAGCTGTTTGGACTGGTCCATCTACCATCTGAATGGCGTACTCACAATGCATGTTCATATGGTGACATCAATTTTCCGAACAAACAGTCGGCAACGAGGCTCTCGTATTGTACAGGCAGTGGGTCAGATTTGTTGCAACATGCATCGTTCCAACTATAGCGCGTACAGAAACGACCCTGGTAAATGATGTGCCTACGAAGAGCAACTGGACTACGATCTTAAAGTGAAGTGGCTGTCTACAGGCATCAAGTCAAGAGCAAGTATCTGACGTAAAGGCGGTGAGCTGTGCTTCTCGGACAGCTGGTAGTGAGTAGAGAAGCAGCTAACTTCCCGCGCCTATGTGTTTGGCGTACATTTGAGGTGTTGTCGCCCCATATGATTGGCTTGTGTAGCTCGTGAGCGACTCTATAGAAACTGTTATCTGCCTGCTCTCTAGAATCTTCCTGTACCACATATTGACGCGTACGTGCTTGTATTGATACATACCGTCCTAAGCTTGATTGAGGCATATTCCTTTTAAAGGATGTCCGTCCCCATCTACAAGGAGCCGTTCGGTTTTTCCATTTACAAAACAGGCGTTGTAAAGCTTCAGTCTGTGCAATAGCTTGCAGATATGGAAACGCGAGCTTTAAACGTCGTTTAGACATAGCTGGGTGTCTGCCAATGCGTTTAGAAAGTGCGTCGCAGCTGCTTCAGGTAGATGAAGATGAATTGTATTGATCTTCCTCCGGCTCCTTTCTTGGTCCATTTACATCCTACTTTGCAAAAAATCGTGGACAGCGCCTACTGAATCCAATGAAAAGCGTGGTGCCATTGGCGATCAGTACGTACGTTGCAAACTAACTACACTAGTGGGGAATTTTATGGAGCAGTGAACACCAGAAAAGAGACGAAGCAGAGCAGCAAACACACCCCCCATAATGCGATACTGCAATGGATTTGTTCTAGCCGATATTGGTACAGGCTCCAAGAGGGAGGAAGGTGCCATTAACTTTCCGGGAATGTATTGGCTCAGAACGTAAGGCTTCATTTGAAGGATTAATAGAGAGGGCGACTGTTAGCACCCCTGGCTATTTCGAGAGCTCGCACACACACACGGCTGTAAAGCAACCGTTGTAGTTGAAATATTTGGAAGGTACTCAGATGAAATAGCCCCACTTATATCAATCCGGGCCTATGCCTTTGCTCAGAAAGTAAGGCCTCCACAATAGGGTAGAAACATCGGATTGGTTTGGAGCGCGCAATAAACTTGTCGAAATGCGAATGCCGTCTTTGCACCATTGGTGGGTTGTCTATCGGGTGTCTGTTGGGCGGTTATTTTGGGTCCAGGAAGTGAGTTGCCTCTTATTTTGTATCAGTTGAACGTAGGCCAGCGCGACCATTGCGTGTGGGCCTACTTTATGTTAAGGCAGTTACTTTCAGAAGCCTTCTTCAGCTCATAATATCCAGCCGGTTTGAGTTGCCTTTCTTTGTGACACCTGCAGAGAGTGCGCTCCATGCTTCGAAATGGCACAAGGGAAATTAGAACTCACCTGTTCTACATCATGCGCTGTCTGTATAACAAACAGAAGCATACATTGCTCTCTATTTTGTCATTAGCGGTGATATTTTACATATATAACCCAAGTTGCATCGCTGAAACGGTCAAACGCCTAGTAGTCGAATACAGCGCATTTTCGAATAGTTGAAGTTTTCTTGCAGTGTTCGAACAGATAACATCTGCAAACCCCAAATGTGCTCTGCAGCTGCAGAGCACATTTGGGGTTTGCTACTTGATGACTACCAGCCTCTAGCATTGCTCGGCAGTCAGTTTTATCCTCCTGTTTCCTTCCCCTTTATTAGGTGTCAGCGTAGCTAGTGGAATAAATTTCGCCTGCCGATGCGCTTTGGAGACGACCACTTTGGAGCGAGGACCATTCAATGGGAAAAGCGTCGTGTCGTTCTCTATTTTCAGAGACTGCTAAATACTCCTGAGTTCCGTTGTGAGTATTGTAGGGCTACATAATACAAGCGTGCCTGATGGCTTTTCTGTTTAGAGAGTGCGCTTCTTGTGACTCACTAGACAATTTCATCTGCGAGAGGATTATGCAAAAATTTCTTGCTTCCCACGAATGCCAACACTTTGCTATGGTCTTAAATTCTCTCTTGGTGAGTAGTTAAGT